TTGGGTTTTTCCACTGCAGATGTCACCACAAAACATGTAGCCACCACCTTTCAAACCACACCAGAGCAGCACCACCTAAGAGTACCTCTTGTGCTCGCCTTAAAGAAGGCTTCGTGCTGTTTAGGCTAAAGGATTTAGTGGAATTATATCTGTAGTTAAATCTGTGATGAATTATGCAGTCCTGGTATCTGCAGATGAACCACACCAATGGAACACAAGGATGTGGTGTCAGAGTCAAGCCTGGAAATGGAAAATGCATACTCCAGCATTTTAAATGTTTAGTGCAGCCAAGATTTCAGAATTTCAAGTATTTTTTTTTATATATATATATCTCTGTTTAAGCCTGGATTTGGGGAGGGGATTGGTTATGGTATTTAGATTATTATTTTTGCTGTAACAGGATTATTCTTTTCAGTAACTGTTAAGTCACCACAAGCTTGTTGCCTTTTCTGTGAAGGAATCAGCTAAGCATCATAGACAGGGAAATATTATTATAACCATTTTACAGCCCATTTTGGCCAAGAATGGGACCGAGAATGCTGACTCTCAGTCACCTGCTTTCACAAGTAAGCTAATATATGAGGTAGAAAGCTAATAAATGAAGGCACTGTGTACATTAACCTTCATATAATAGTACTTATCCTGTGCTTGTGTTATATGCAGGAGGTCAGATGAGATGAACAGAGCAGTCCCTTCTGGCCACAAAGCCAATGAACCTATTTTTAAACATGAGGCAACATTCAATAACCTGCATCAGCTTTGATTAACTGTTCTGCAAGACTGAAAGCAACACAAGCAGAACTAACGTGCACAGTGGGCAAAAAAGACTTCAAAAGTACAGCTCATGGTGGCAAGTTTTTACTGTAGAAATACTGGATGGGAACCTTGGCTGTACAGGTCCTGCTGACCCTGTTGGAGTAGTTCATCACGTCCCCTGACCATTTTGGCTTGGGCTCTTACAGAAAGGCAGAGACAACTGGGCACTGTAGCTTCCTTCAAGGCTCCAGCTAACCCCAGCCTCTACCTCTTAAATACATAAATACACACATATATATAAGCAAATACTATATATGAGTTGCTGTGAGGCAACTAACTTTTTTAAACTGGCAAACAAACTTAGTATAAGGTCTCTAAAACAGCTCTGCTTTTTCTGGTATTGATTTTGCTTATTTTGAAGTAAAGCGTGTCCATAAATACGCTCTATGGTCCCCTGAGGTAAGTCTCATAAGGTATTTAAAAAGGAAAAAAAAGGATGAGGAGGAATTTTTTGGCAGCAATTACCATCTCAGATAACCTGCCTGGGGTTGGGAAAGTGTGCCAGCAATATGCTCAGAAATAGCTTTCATTTGGGCTGTTTATTTTCATATGCTTTGTCTGACACTTTACTGCTGTGGCGGGGTACTTAACTGTCAGCTTCCATTAAACGCTTTGTCAGTTGTTTCCACTCCAGGCAGAAACCAAAATTATTATCTCCCATTATTTGTTAAAGTCAACCCACTGGCAGGAAGCAAGCAGGATGACAAAGGAAATCATCCTTGTGCCAAATGGTGAGATTTCCTCAGGCTCCTTTGCTCCAGTGCTTCTCTGGTTCCTTGTCCCTTCTTTTCTTGACTGCCCCAGTCATCTGATTTGTTTCTGTCAAATAAGTGAGGGACTTGAGGGCAGCTGTTCCCCTTTAAAGCAAAGCTGGGGGGACCAAACTCCTCTGCAGCATGATCGGGATTGGGATATTCTGGAAGAGAATAATGTGTTTGCTTCAAATTAATTTGGACTGTCATGGCATAATCATATGGATGAGTATCCCTTTCTATGGCAAGATAGAGTATGAAATATGAATGGGATGCTAATAAAATAGCTTTGGGAGTATCTATTACATGATTTCTTGTTTTGCTGTTTTAGGGTGTGTGGATGATTTAATTTTTAAAATTATTTAAACCAAGTTTTCCAAGTTTTGATATATAAAGAGAAGAGGGTTAAGCAATTTCAGAAAAGGCAAAACGTCATTACAGGTCAAGCAAAACATTTTAAGATGACCCAGACAGATCCTCCTCCTTCCAAATTTGGTCCCATCCAACCCAATGCTGCCATCCCCACAACACTTCAGTTCACCCTTTGAACCAGAGAATCCATTACATTCATTTCTCTAATTATGGTCTGGTTTCTTTTAATAAGCAGATGTGGAACAGTATAATCGTAGCCCCAGGCTACTGAAATGGTGGACTCCAGCCTAGATCTGGACCTCACATAAATATGCCCCATGCCTTGCCAAGGTCCCAGACATGACATCTCCCATATTCATGAAGGAAATCCCAAGTTTTTTACCACTCTTTTTGGTGGTGTGCACCACCAAGCTGGCCCAGCACAGGTAAAGCCAGTGAACAGCTCCTTGCTGACTATCCCCTGGTAAGAATTAGCTGATTTCAATAAAACTACTCACTGGAGCTTTATTAAAAAAAGTGCGTTTTGCTCAAGATTGCAAAGAGCTCACTTCCAGTTCAACAAAAGCCCCCTCAAACAAACCCAAACGTTCCTCAACAGAGGATCTCTATTGCAGTTCTTCTTCCCAAAGAAAAACATTCAGTCTTAACATATTCATTCCCACTCACGCTCCTGGGGTTTTCAATGAAAGTCTTGAAGCTGTGCAAGCAGCTCATAAAAGGGAGTCCCTTTCTGATTCAAGTGTGCCCTCCTGTTCAGATTTTGGGAAACGGGATGATTAATTGATTTCCATCATCAGACTCCCCATAAGTCACAAGCCAAGCTGCTATTTAAAGTTTCCATTGACAAAGATTTCATTATAAGAAGCCATAATTTTTATCCAGCACTGTGCAAACTTTTTTAGTCTTCAACCTGAATTAGGCCCATATGTTACAGAAAAACACAGTGAGGGCAAGTTATGGGGGTGAAGTGGTGAGGGGAAGGGAAAGGAGCAACTGCTCTATCTCAGAGGCTGAAAAAACTTCCACCCACATCACAGCATAAAGGGGCTCTGAATTGGTCGTCTTAACCCTTATCTAAACAAAATAAATCAAAAATACAATTTTCCGACTGACGCTGAAGGATTTGCTTTCTTAGCCAAAAAGCAATTTTAAACTCCCTTGCTGAGTAATCTTTGCCCAGATACTGAACTCCACTGAGAGCTCCTGGAGTCCAAGGTGGTATTGCTGAATTCTCCTCCCTGTGTCCTGCTGCTGGGATAGGAACATCCTCAAACAGCACCTGCCACGGGATGCAGATGAAACCACAGCTTGGTGGTGTAAGTAAACCTGATGACTGGGAGACCCTTCCCCCAGAGGGCTTCACAAGGCAGTTCAAAAGGCAGCAAAAATGGGAGAGAGGCAATACTGCAATCCTTATTTCACAAACAGGCAAGGTGTATGCTGGCAAATAGAAGTCTACTGTTAATAAAACTGTGAGCCCCAGAATCTGCCAAGACCATCTGCATTGTTTAAGATGATAACATTGTCTGTGGTCATGAGCAAGGGGCTGCTAGTGATAACAATTTTGTTGTGGCCACACTTTTGAACTGGCTTTAGCAGGGAAAGGATGGACATAAGAGTGCAAAGCACATTCAACCTGACCAGTTTTATTTAGCTGCATAGACAGAGTCTTCAGCAGAGCAGAGGCTTCATCTGCCTTGTAGCTCCATATCAGAGACCCCCCCGGATGATAAATGTATCACAAAAAGACCTCTCCCCTTCTGTCATGTGTGCTTGAGTTCCTCATAAATGTCAGATCTCTTGTTGCCTAATGGGGTGGGAATCCTTTAGGTGACTGGGGAGCAGCAAGATCACTGTGAGGATGAACCAGAAGTACCAAGGTGGTAGTTTAAGAAGTTTGCACTAAGCTGTGTGACTGTGTGATATGGCTAAGCCAAAAATTCCTGTATATGGAAGCAGGAGCTAAGTCTCAGTCTCTCATTCTCTATGATCTGCAATACGGCCTTTGAAAAAAACAGGGATAAACAGTATCAACCTGCCTAAAATGTTCTCTGAGAGAAGTAAACAGAACCTGACATACAAGTGCTATCTAGTAATGCTTGGGAGAGCCAGCCAAATATCACATTTATAACATGGATTTTTCCAGCATGACAGAACTACTGCAACAGCACAAGTCATGTTAAGATCTGGAAGGGGCAAATTTCCTCAGACGAAGAAAAAGACTTAGCAGTCATTGAACACAAACAGAAATTTTTCTTCTCTGCCTTTTAAATGATAAATTTAATCAGAGTTCCAGGGCTTTCCTTATAGCTGAGCTCAGGCTGGCTGGAAACCCTGTTGTTTTGGATAAAGTCAGGCAAATTGAACAACAGAAGAGCAGAGAGTTTGGGGTACCCTCAGAATTTCAGAGAGCATGAAAGGTAGAGAAATTACATCCTTCACACACGGGTTTTGATAAGAAACTTTTGGATTATGCCTTTCAGGCTTCAGAAAGAGAAGTAAATCCACACAGTCTAAGCCAGAAGAAACTACCCAACATAGACCCTCAAAGACCCTCTACTCCTCTTGCTGTGACTGCAATGCCTTGTGCTCAGGTAGACCATTCTTTTCAGGATGACCCACAGCATGATTAAAAAGAATAATCACCCACTTGCATCCACAGTTGTTGCTAATGATTAATCACCCCTATAGTTAAAAATTTGGCCATTGTTTCTTGTTAGGATACGAGTTTGGGTGCAGCTTTTGCTACCAACTCTTGTTATGTCTCTGTGTAGTTGACCAGGAGATCTTCACTATTGCTGTTTATCCCCATGAAGATAATTCATCTGGCATAAGCAAATCACCTCATAACCTTGCTTTTCACAAACTTAGTAGACAAAGATCTTTTAAGTCTTCCACCGTAGCATGTTTTCTCTGACCCTTAAATTATTTTTGTACCACTTTGTGCACCTTAAAATCAAATGTGTGCCTGAAATGGGATCTCCTGTCTCATAGCAAGGCACAAGCTGCTGTGCAGATCTATAATCTTGTGAGTATTCAGCCCAAGGAGCCAGTTCATACCTCTTCTCATGGTTCAGATGTGGATCTGTACTCTCTTGATCATGTTGACATAGGAATTGTGCATTTCTCCAACTTTCCTTCAGGTTTCTCTTGAGTTGTAGTTCATGGGTAGTTTCTTCTAAAGGCACATCTGAGCCCAGAGTTCAGCAGCCTGACCTCAGCAGACACTGTAGTGATGTCCAAGTCTTGGGAATTGCAGTCAGTCAGTAGCAAGAGGTGAATTCAGCCAACCCTTTCAATGCTGGGGGTTGACCTTACAGGACAAATCTCCACGGAGCTGTTTTCGCATCTCCGGTGCTGGCACACAGACATGTAATGAAGTATATGCCCTTCCCTATGGGACACTCCTCCATGAGTTCATTCCTGGCTTAGTTGGAGAAGCTGGATTTTACATTATTAGGTATTGAGTTGCAACATGAAATTACCAAAATGTAAAACATGGGAAAACATACTGTAAATCACTTATTGGCAGGTCTCTCACCTCTTTACAAGTGCACAACTGGATACATATGAGTCTTTTGGAATTTCCAAATTAGAGCCCAGAAGACCTTCCCGAAGAAAGGTATTTTCTGCTGGCACCAAAACAATTTTATCTGAGTTAAACAACAGAGTTAATGTTTTAGCATTCACACGGCCGTTTGCAGGCTACAAATCCAAACTTAATTTCACCTCCTTCTTGCACTGTAGCTCTATTATTATTGCTTTTTTTAATGAATGTTATTATTCTTGTAACTCTCCTGCTTTGGCTTTTCAAAAGCAATATACAGAGACCCAAGGGACTGACAGTGAGAATGCAGAACCTTTCACATTCAGGTGAAAACACTGATATCTTTAATGGTCTTATCAGGAAGGGAATTTACGTAAACAGAGTAAACGTGTTCTTACTACTGTGACCTCCAGCTCTTTTGTCCCCACTGCTTGTGACCCTAAATTTGTGGTGACAAAGGATGCTCTGATATGAGCAAGGGGTGATTTTGTGGTTAAGGAACTAAACTGAGAATCAGACTTCTGGGATTTATTCCAGGCTCTGCCACAGTCTGCCTGTATGGAAGTCACTTAATCCTTCTCTGCCTCAGTTTCCCATCTGAGGGAATATATAAAAATATTTTCTTTTGTCATTCTTGTCTCCGAGGCCAGAAAGATCCCCTACACTGGAAGTGTCCAAGGCCAGGTTGGATGGGGCTTGGAGCAATCTAGTCTAGTGGAAGGTGTCCCTGCCAATGGCAGGGAGGTGAAACAAGATGAACTTTCAGGTCCATTTCAACCCAAACTATTCTGTGATTGTATGAAAGATTTGTCAGCTGAGTCACAGAACAGCTGAGCATAGACTCTATTAAATAGTTATGTTTGAGTGTCTGAGGGATTGGGTCATGCCTTTGGTTAGCTCAGGCTTTCAGATGGGCAGAGAAGAGGCATATTTCTTGTTTCAGTATTTGTCCAAGATGTGTTACTGTGCTTTTCCATGAAGACTGGGTCACAAATGGAAAGGTAGTTCCTGAGAAAAATGAGGATCAAATGACTGATTCCAAAATGCACCTTGACCTGTGGTCCCTCTATTACAGCTGGTGATTAAAGAGTTCAGGGAAGCTCCACCAAGAGCCAGAAGTTCACAGGCACACAATAAGCAGGCTTTCACCCTAAACCAAAATAACTCCATCTGCAGGAATTTCACTCACCAATTCAGACAGTAGGTCATGGCAGGACACACTGCAATGTTCACCTGAGGTAAGGAGTGAAAGTGTCACCAGGAAAGCCTCCCAAAAGCCACAGTACAGTTTACCCTTTCATGCAGCTCAGAACAGAGAAGAAACAAGAGATTTGTCAAATGCAAGTTCTGCCATGTGTGGAGACAGGGTTTGAACACCATCCTCCACCCTCCCCCCCGCACACCACACTACAAGGGTCTGTGTTGGTAAGGGCACTTCACAGCCCATGGGAAGGAGATGGAACTAGAGCCTCCCACATCTTCATTTATCTGCACACCAGTTTAATTTTTCTCTGCTTCATTTACTCTCAGAATTTGGAGAGTTGGTGGCATGCAACCTGGGCATGAGTTTTTCTTATAGTCCCATTTTCTGCTCTCTGTGTGCCAAAGATCCATCCCTCACTTTTGCTTTAGGGAGGAACTGGCTTACACAACACCTAGAGAAGAAGGTGGGGCTGCAGAATAACAATGAACACAACCTGACGGACAGATATCCATTATCACAAACTGCACCTTCCAATTCTGACCATCCCCAATAGCTATTGACTTCAAACCACTAGATTTATTTAAAGAAAAAGGGTTATTTAATATAAAAGGAGTTACCAAATACCTGCATAGATCTGGTTGCTTTCTTGCTGCTGCTACAACCAGTTATTTTCTCCCTGAGAGAGACACGTCTGCTGGCCTTGCAGAGAGCACATCACATCCTCTGGATTAGCAGGTCTTTCCATGGATAACTTGATGTGAGGCTGGTGTCCCACAGGAGCTCCCAGATCACAGCACTCACTATGGAGAACACTGCACTTTAGTGCTCAACTTGGATGATGCTTCGAGAGATAAAATACAAAGTTATCCATAAACCATCAAATGTTTCAGACCTTTCAGAACACTATTTGCTGATTCCCTCGGAAATTTATTAGCTCTACCAATATTTTCTTTTTTAGCTTTGTAAAGCAAGCTCCAAGTCAGCTAGTACTGACTATGCAGAGCCCTGAAACCACATGTTTATTTTCCTAAGTTATAAAAAGTTTATAAGGGTAGCTGGTATCCTTATGGGCCACTGTACAGTGATTTGCTACTGCATTCCACACTGGTACAGAAGAGCTCTGTGTTTTATACCAGAGGGAAATCCTTGTGATACAGCTGTCCAGCAGCCAACGAGAGTACAGACACCTTAAAAAATATAACCCTGATAAAAAAAAAAAATTAATATCTGAAAAGGCAGAAAACATCCCTGCTGAGAAAAATCAGTTTGAACAACTGATGACCCTGGGCAGCCCAAGATCTGTATTGTGATACCCCAGAGAACATCAACAAAGTCCTCTCACCTCAGACATAGTTCTTTTTTTCAACTAGATCACCATTTCTACCTGAAAATGCTGTATGGTCACAATAATTTTTGAAAGTCCAATGCAATAGCTGCCTTGTCTTTTTGCAGTTAACATTTAGCCCCAGGCTCTCAGCTTTCACAACTTCATATGTCGCTTCATTGACATGAAGAGGCTTTGGTCAATTTACACTGGAGAATGGAGAGACTGTTATCCATTTATCTCTTAAAATAGTGAGTACACAGCTGCACAACATGAAGAATTAGGTCAGTATGTTGCTATGTCTGTCCTGGAAAGAGAAATTCAGAGCAAATAAGGTAGATTTCAGGAGAGAGCCTGGAATGTGTGAAAAGTTAGCAAAACTGACATAGACTCAATAGCAAAAATAAGTAATTTTGCAAATCCCTAAACCACAATGGTTGGATTAGGGCCCTTGTCATACAATTCTTGGGCATGTGAACAATCCCTTTTTCACTTGACTTCATTTCATTAGTTTCTCTCAGCTACATAAATACTCGTACTCTCAATGGGACTACTCACATCAATAAAGTTCCTCAAGCGAGCAGGGATTGCAACCCAATTTTAGTGGAACAAACCCAACCTCTGACTTTGATTGCATCCCTCACTTTTCCAAAAAAACTTCATTTCCAGCAAGAGCGAGCCCACAATCCCTGTGGAGCTTGCTTTCGCCACTTCCAAGCACAATCCCAGTTATTTGTCTCGTCAAATACAAAGGCAAACAGGGCTCTTCTGAACTCCCCAACTTCACCTTCCTTCGTAAAAACACTGCTGGGCCTCGAACAGGCCAATTTGGATGTTTTTGAGAACTCCTGGGCTTTGCTCTGCTCTAATTGATAGATCCCTGGTGGGGTTATCCTGCTCACGTTGAATCCCAACATGCCTCTGCCAGCCAGCAACCTCTGAAAGTCAAAATACTGCTCAGTGTAATATCATGAGTAATGACAGTAGTATCAAAGCAGCAATTACTCAGCTGTAAATTGTTTTCTGATTAAGCTTGTAGTCCTTTTTTTAGTCTTTGACATTGTTGCATGGGGTTGACTGTGATTAATTCACTTACAGTCAATAGAAATGTCATGGAAAATTGCCCCTTTACCTATCAGTTCCTATCATAATTTGCAGTTTAAGGTTTGCTGCAAGGGAGACAGGATGGGCAGTGCTGGAGTGAGAAGTGCATTGAACTGCTGGAGAAAGCAGCAAAACAGACCCCAGCTGGCAGGCACCTCTATGGGGATCCCTAAGTATAAAGAGCAGATATTGAGTTGGATGTTTTCTGTATATTTTTCAAGCAGGTTTTTAGTTAGTTCCATTCTGCCAAAAGCATAGGAGGAATTTCTCTTTTTCCTCCAACTCTCCCTGATCATCCAAAAATACACATGAAGAGCTGAACAGAGGAAGAAGCAGAATTGAAATCAATAAATCGACTTGCTGGCCTCGTATGTCAGTATTTATCATCTTATCCAAGAATATACAATAAAATCAGCACATCTAAACTCAGCCATTTCCTCTCACGATTGTGAAAACTCTGCTGACATGCATTGCTTCCACAAATACCCACCAGATGTGGCACATTTCAGGTAAAGGCTTCAGTGGGAGGCATGAGCTCTTCCTTTAGTGTGCTCTCTTCCCCTCAAGGTGGAAGAAAAGAAGTGGGAAGACAATGAAGAAGATGAAGCAAAATCAACTCCTTCCCCTCCCTTTCTATTATTTTCAAAGACTACAAAGTATCTCCAAAGAGCTTTACAAAGACTGTCACAGAAAATAAACACACAAAGGTATTTCTGTCCCAGAGTTATCAGCCACAAACCAGTAAATAAATCCTTACTCCTATAAAGAGAAACAAATGGAGAGACCTGATCTCTTAAGTGCAGTTATGTTGCACCAAATACAGGTTGCTGCAAGTAATATCAAGGTCTGCAAAGGGCAAAAAAATTAGACTTGGTAAAGTAGAATAGACCTGGATGGATTGGGTTTGGTTTTTTTTTTTAAATTGTTTATTAAGTACAGTGACAGGAACATATAAAACTTTTTTATGGAACAAAAGGACAAGGACACCGGGAGTAGTGGGAACCCCGACCCACTGATTCCCTCAACAGGACTTGAATCCAGCACTGAAGCAATGGCAAGGACATATTTTATCCAGAGCTAGGAGACAGAAACCATCTGCAGGGCAAGAAAATTCTGGTAACATCCAAACCAACTTGCTCTCCAAGATCCTGTGTGTGTACAGGCTTGTTGAACATGAGCACATGAATGTTAAGATTGTGTTTTCTGGGGAAAGGCAGAAACCTTTTACATTGTAATATAAATGTAATGAAATGTAATATAATACATAAAAATGTGAAACTAGTCTGATGTGACTTTCTTGCACAGAACAGCCTCTTACCATTCATACATTCAGATACATATGCAGTATATATATATTCACATGCATAAACATGCTGTATTATTTAACTTAAAGCATAAACATGTGCTTAAGAGAGACAAGTCTGACAGCCCAGAGACCTAATCTTTCCATTAGCAGTCTTCCATCTCTATTACCTTGTCTCACTGGATTTCCTTCTGTGTCCCAGGGAGAATGGCTTTTGTAGCAGAACAAGCAGAAGAACACTCAGATTTGCATAAACACTGTGCTTGATGTTCCAAGATGCAGCCACACCATCAACCAAGGGATGGTTTTCTCATACAGGAGGAATCTCAGCTGTAATCACCAGCCTTTTCAAAACAGATTCCTGCAAGTCTTTTACTTCCTTCACTTGCAATTTGCCCAGCTCAGAGATTTACATGAAAGGGTTGAACTAAACATTGACCTTCATGTGGAAGTGTGTTGCATGATCTGGAATATCAAAGGGTATCTCTGGAGTACAACAATTTTGGTCGTGGCAAAAGGATGAAATCCTTTTTTCCAGCCAAAATGCCATCTATGAGAAGGTCATGTAAGTTGTTTATCACTATGACTTCTTGTTCTTCATCCCATTTACCTCAAGTGTCTTCAGGACAATTAATATAAGCAGTGCTTTTAGCATTTTAGGAAGTGCTATGCTAACTAATACAGGGGTCCCATTAGTGGATTCTGCTCCACTGAGTTTCAGTGTTAAGACTGAAAACTGAATTGCACTGCCAGGACTAAAATTAGATCATCAGCCTTGACTATCAGGAGCTAGTAGATTGCTTAAAAGGGGCAGAATGGGGTGCCAGCAGCTGTAGATTAGTAATCCAGTAATTCAGGAATAAAGTGAGAACTCGAAGAGAGATGTGGGTTATCTGAAATGACAAATACTGCAAATAATAAAAATACTTCTCTTTAGCCACATGGGTGAAAAGAGAACAATGATAGAATCATAGAATCATAGAATATCCTAAATTGGGAAGGACCCAAAAGGAACACTGAAGTCCAACTCCTGGCCCTGCATAGGACAACACCAAGAATCACACCATGTGCCTGACAGCATTATTCAAGCACTACTTGAACTCTGGATGGATGAAGAAAAGACAACATGAGGTACATACAGGCCTGAGAATGACTGAAGAAGTCAGGATTTTCCTTTTGTTTTTAATGGTTATGATGAAGAACATTCTTGGACCCCACAACAGCAGAAGCAGCCCAGAAAAAAACCACATCCATTGTGGGTGACATCAAAATCTCACCTGGGCTTCACACCTTGCACCTTGCAGCTTGGCAAAAGTTGGAGACTTTAGCAAGTTTGGGATTCTGTGAGTTTCCCTGCAGACTTTCAGTGCATGTTCATCCTTGACACAAAGGTCAGTCTGTTTGCCAGATGTCAAGTCCTTCCTGCAAAGTACGGGGGGCAAAAGAGCAGTTCACATAAAGGTTGTCAGATTTTTTTATGCCTTTTTTTTTCCCCTGAATTTGGCTGACATTTTCTGAAATGAATTCAGCCTGAGGCAGACACTCAGCATGAAGAATTTAAATCCAAATGGTTACAGCTTGGCAAAGCTCTGAGCAACTGAAAACAGAGTCTTGTAATGGGAAGTGTCAGACAACCCCAATAACAGGGAACCAGCTTGTCTGGAGCGAGCACTGTAACACACTGGTGATGGATGACATCAGACTGGAAATTTCACAGTTAAGTAGCTGCAGTGCCACTAATCCTCCCTGGTGAAGAAGGTCGGTGTTAGAGTCCATCTGGTCTGTATGTACAATGTAAGATTATGCCCATCATGACAAAGTTAATTAAGAATGGAATTCCCCTTTCTTGTTAAAGCAAGGAATAAAATTTGGGCACCAGTGACTGACTCGACATCACATACTTTGGTTCATTGACAAGTGTGGCACCTTCCATATGCATATAAGTTGCTGACTTTGGGATTTTTTTCTTATTAAGTGAATATTCGTTATGATTTACTTCTGAATTAATTGGGTTCAGCTTCCATCTGGACATTCCTATGAATGAACTTCAGAGGCCTAAACAGGCAAGGACAGGACATTTCAGGGTTGAGTGGAAGAGCATCAAGAGGAACAGAACATTAAATATGTGCAGCTGGATATTCATACTGGAGGCTGCTGCAGCAATATTTCAGTGAAGTAGGCAGGAATAGCACCATGTGACTGGCTTGACCAGCACATCTCAAATTTTGTTATTCATGAATAAGCTAGAGGGCAAAAAAGTTCATAATGCTATTTGTCCAAGCCAGTATGGCATAGGAAACTGCACTTACCTCAGAGCTATTCCCTCAGCAGGAAAAAAAAGGCTACATTTGAATAAATTATTTGTGGTGAATTATTCCATTAGCTGTAGTCATCATAACTCCACCCTGATTTTTATGTAGCATACATAAGAAAATTCTCCTTTCCATATTGTATCTTCACTTAGTTTGCTGTGGCTGGAGACGGCAATTACACACTGCTTTTAAAGAATCTGATTACCTTTCAAATGCAGATCTCAGCTAATGTTTGCTACAGAGATGCTGCTAACAAAAGCAAAGCTCACAGTGAACTTGAATGACCAAAGTGAACTTGAATAATGGAAAATATGTTTAAATTTATGCATTAATAGCTCTGTGGGCAAAACCAGAAATACAAGGATTAGCACTATGAGGCTCATCATGGCTAAAAAGATTTTGATTTGTGACTTTGTGGAATATAAGGACTTAAATTAGCATCAGTTTGCAGCAGTTTTCATAGAATCATAGAATAGTTTGGGTTGGAAGGGACCTTTAAGGCTCATCTAGTTTCAATCCCTCTGTCATGGGCTGGGACACTTTTCAATAGATCAGGTTGTTTGAAGCGCCATCCAAGTTGGCCTTGAACACTTCAGGGATGGGGCATTTAATTTCTGAGTTCTCTGGTGTGAAAGTTTAGACACAAATGCCTTTGCTTGTGCTGGCACCAGCAATGTCGAGACAATGCATTTCTACAGCTTATGGCCACATGTGGGACCAGAATCAAGGACTCAAGTGCTGCAAAGATCAGAGCAGCAAGGAGGAAAAGAGACATGGATAGAGAAAAATGAAACTCAAAAAGGTACTTCATCTCTGGAGAAGATGGTTGTGTTCTTTTATCCTACCTGATGAAACATCAGAGGGGGGAACATTTGAATGGCACCATCAGGAAAAGCTCCACGTGCCTTGGCAGCACCTGTGGCCACCACAGGGCTCTGAACGCCCAAGCTGCTGGGACTGAGGCGTGGGGTAACTCACCCAATTGTGCATGTTCAGCTTGCAGGCACTCCTGCAAATCCCTGCTTTTGCTTTGGTTTGTGTGGGCTTCTCCCCTTCTGAGTTTTGGTTTCCTACAAACTCCGTAACTCCCAGCACATCCAGCCAAAGTCAACGTGTTCTGCCTGGTTTCAGGTTGAAATCGTTCCGTTTCATCTGTGCTCATCTGTAACCATGAACTGGCCCAGCTGCACTCAAAACTTGGCCTACAGCTGTTCAAAAAAAAAAAAAATCATTTTTTTCATCACAGCAGACCCAAACCAGATCATAATAGGTTCATCTCAATGAGAATAACTGGAAACAGCATGTTCATTTCCTTGGCACTACATATGTCTGGCATAGTCTGCTAGAGAGGAAGGTACATCAGATTTGCCTTAGACACGTGGTTGGCTGCAGTTGCAATTTGGGATAATCTCCATATTACAGGGTAGAATTACCCCAGGTTTCTTCTGCATAACCTGGATGTTTAGAAAGGAAAAATTAATCACGTGACAACCCTTGGTTAATGCAAAAGGTTTACTCTTCCCCTTACTCTTCACTCCTCCATTCTTTATTCTTATGACTGTGACGATAATGTCCGTTGATGCAAAACCCTGCAAAGTATAAAATGTGCAGATGTAACATACTTCTGTTTGGTAACACACTGACTTCACAACCTCCTTCATATTATGAGTAGGGGGATGGGGATTTTATCAGATTTTTTTCTTTTTTTTTTTTAGATTTTAGTATTGATACCAATAGCATAGCAAACAAGAACAGAAATAAAAAAAACACGATTGAAAGCCCAGATTTCCTGGCGTGGGTGCCCAGGCAGGTAGACTCCTGAATCAATCTTTACACATGCAAATGAGTAACATGTTTATCCAACATGCTCAATGCCCACTGGTCTCAGACAGAGTTGTGGGATGCTTTGCACTATAAAAAAAGTCATGTGTCTTTCCTTGGGCTGGATTTAGTCTCATGTGTGTATATATCAACCACAGAAATAAATTCTAGTCATTCTGGGCTCCCTGGTGTAGTCAACAACAGTTCAACTAAGCTGCTTCAGATATTTGCCATTATGTGGGATAGATTCCACCCTAAAAGTCTGTTTATTTGCTCTGACTATGAAGAGATTCTACACATCCAGGTTACACACAGACATGCATCAGCTATCAGATGCATCCCATCAGAAATAAGTTTAAACATGGCTTGAAGGGCAGCATTCATTGATCACGTGCAGACAGCTGCAATGCTGACAACTACATTAACTCTCCTTTTGTACTCAGTACAAACAAACAGGTGTCTTTAGGGTGCAATTTATATAACATTGAAGCAGACAATTAAAATAGGTCAGAGTGATCACTGCCTGAAAGTGTCTGATTGCACTGACTGGAAGGGGAGCCTGTGACAAGAAGCTGAGGTGTGAATGCTGGGTGGGATGAGCTCCACACTTAAAATTCATCTATAGCCTCGTTTTGGTTGGAATACGGAACCAGAAGTAGCCAAAAATTAGAAAGCTCACCAAACCTAACCAGTGTAGCACAACCCAACTTTCCAAGATTTCTTGGGAAAACACAGGTGCCTGTGAACTTTCTCAGTGCAAAACCCTCTACTTTTGCACTAATATCATCTTACTGTAGGATCAGTACACAGCCATTAGCTAAAGCTAATAAAACAAACTCCTCTGATATTTTGTTAGGCAGGTACCAATGTGCTGCTGTTGTAGCTGTAACGAGGAATAAACCAATAATAGCTGATTCTGTACGATATGAATCTGAGGAAATTAATCCAGCTAGAAGTGATTTAAAACATTAAAGCTCCAAATCCTCACGGGATCATAGTATTAGGCAATTCCTTAGCAGAGTGCACATCACCCAAAGCTTATGAAAATATTTTTGGAAAGAGCCACAGGAAGTGTTACATCATTGGAGGCAGCACAGAATGCAGCAAGTCAGGAAATGTGACTCCATGCCTGTCTCAACCTGGTACCCGTGTCCTGCCTGCCTGAATCCAGTCAATTTGTCTCCTGTTCCTCTTCTGCTCTTTGCTTGCCTTGCCTGTGTAGGACTGTGAGCTCCTCTCTCATGTTTATCCAGAGCTCTGCACTGTGACAGCACCTCTCATAAAAAATGTGGGATTGAGGATCAATATGGTATTGACCATCTGTCCTCCACTGAAAAAAAACCCTCAGCATGTTATTATTATCTTAGGTGGTCAAAAAATACATTAGGGACACATTGAAGGTGTTTAATTCTTATACCCATGGGAGATGAAGATTGTGGCAGGCAAACTGGTAAGGAAGTGTAAATAACCATATCACAGCTGCCAAACCCTTCCTGGTTTCTGCAACCAGACACGTTCTCTGTAATGCACAGTTAATCATTCTGCCAAATTACTTTTTCTACATATTTTTTCCTGAACTGCAAGTTGCTCCCATGATGTGTTTGAATGTAGGGAAAGGCAGCTGTGTCTCCTTGTTGTAGCTTCTTAGGCTGCAGCAGGGAGGAGGCAGCCAGATTGAAGATTTCCAGGTCAATCTTTCAAATGTAAGAGTCATTCTGGAGAGTGACATCTCTAGTGAAGAGCCACGACCAATTTGAATTTGACTCTCTCAGTGGTAAACACAACCTTATAATCACAGCCTCAGTTTCTAAGCCAGACAACATCTGTTATAGCCAGTGGTTCACCTTCACAGAGCATGTTTTTTCTCTGTCTCATCCACAGTCTACAGTGGAAAGCAATTTCTATTAGGTTTAAAAACCAAACTAATCAAAAAAACTTAAAAAGATACCTAAGCAGGCAAGCCATGTATCAGAAAAACCCATGATTTCCTATCTTGTTTTCCAAATTTTCCTATTATTTCCAACTACATGCCTTCAAGTATTCAGTCTCCCTGAGCCCTCAGGTCTCTAGATGCACTGCAGATTTTGCCATGATGAGATGTAAAACTCCTGACTCAGACTCCTGATTTCAGACAAGTGTGATTACAGTGAAAATCCAGGTTTAACATTTGTCATGAAAGAAAACAGGAAAAATTAACCCAGCCTTCAATACTAAGCCTTAACGTGTCAGAGCCTCATAACTTTGGGCTTGGTTTATTCACAAAATAAGTACCCATTTCAGTACACTGATGAGAAAATTGACCCATGTTTTCATCAGGAAATACATATAGGTGGAAACCATGTTATACCTACCATGTTTGTGAAATCCCACGTGGAGTGGTGTGTAACACGAAGTTCTGACATTTTAGTTTTGCTATGTCTGACTGCAGGCAGTACTGTGACAGCTTGGTACCAATGGCTGTTTCAAGGGATAAGATGTGCTTCAGCCTCAGTCTGCATTACAAAGAGGAAAAGTTCTTTTCAGATGCATATTCACAGTACTCAATTAAAGAAATGGAAAGGTCTTGAAAACAAACCAACTTTTTTTCTTTTTTTTTTGCATTTCTGCTTCTGCTTCTATGGTGTGAAGGATCTCGTGACCATTAGATTTGATCTTTATCTTTAAAGTATTATAAATAACATGATAGTTAAGTCTGTAAAGTCTGCCTTGACTGAGAGAAATACAGTCTTTTATCTATTTAAGAAATGGTAAAGAATCAGTTTAATTACAGGCTATATGCATAGGATATTCATGATACTGTGGTAGGGGGAGACAAATTATTTTTCACTCAAAATTGACATAATTCAGTGGTGGACAAATGGGGATAAATCACAGTTGACTAAAAAAAGGTGTAAATTTTGTACTGCTGCTAACCACTAAGATGATTTGTCCAGGGGTGAAGTGGTACTTTTTGAAGACCTTACACCAAGACTAAGGTCTATATAATCCCATGAGAAGTCATGGATGGAGGAAGAATCATACGGTTAGAGCTAAAACCAGTTACATGTTTGACCACAGGAAATTCCCATAATGGTGTCCATCAAACTTAAACCTAACCCAGAGAAATACTTTTACCCTTGACCACGTCATCTTTTTATCCATCTTCTACACCTTAATCTCTACCTTTTAACCAACAAGTAGCATCATTCTTTCTCTCTCCTTCCTTCTATTTGGAATATTTCCTTTTCAACACTTTCATTTCCTTTCCAACCGTGACACTGCTCAAACAGTAACATTGCTTTTGGCCTGCTCTCTTTCTCCAGTGTCCAGCCCTGTTATAAGAAGGGGTGAAACCCTTGTTGCTGGATGCAATGACTGCCAGAGGGATCTTCCCTTTGTGTGCTTTCCTCTTCCCCTGCAGAGTCTATGACCAAAGGCGGGTGATAAAATGATGCTTCATGCCTCAAGTCTGCCACAATCCACAGAGGAATTATATTAAGGACTCAGTTCTACAAAGCATTAAACCCCATGCAGTTTGTGTAGCCCATTAGAGGGCAAATTGTCTAATAAAGAACAGGATCAAATAAATCCTTGAGAGGTGACAGCTCTGCAGAAAACACCTGAAGAGCCTGAACACTGATGACAAGGGCCAGCACCTCTCTGAAATTACTTTTTTATCTCTATCCAAGACCATTCAGCTACTTCCAAGGGGAAAACTTAGCCCTGTACATCCCTTGCTCCTATCACTTATTTAACACACAGTTGCTTCTGCAAGACTCCTGCATCTGAATGGTCTTTTGGATGCCATTGGCATAATTGCTAAACTCAATGTTAACCATATTTAAAGAGTCAATGGTCTTTCTTTCTAGGATCCCATAGGATTTGGTTTTCCCCAACTACAGCCTCTCCATAGCCACGTTAAAAATAGGCTTGGTAATACTTTTCACATTTGTAGGCTGTCACAAACGGTTAGCAGGGAAGGAGTCATTCAAACACACATGACTTTATAATTAAGGCACCTAACTCTTATAAACCCCATTTTTCACAGAAGCAGTGACTTTTAATAAAGTGCAGTGGAGCTGTGGGGGATTCTGTGGTTTCTGCGTGCAGGCCTTGTGCGAACATTTTGACCCTCAGCCCTGACCACAGAGACCACAGTCATCAGGAGGAATATTTATTTCCACTCCAGCACTTGTCTGGTCTGGTGGACAAGCCCCTGAACACGGAGAGGCTGAGGGAAGCAAATGGCAGTCATTTCCCTTTGCTGTCCCTCAGTTTCTCCACCTATAAAATTGGGATAATGATTTCTTCTTCTTTGGAAAGCTCCCTTGAGAGCAATGATGAACTGAGCAAGATGTTAATTTTTTGGATGGGGTCATTGAGGTGTTCAGCTGATGAAGTTTGAGAGAGAGATGGAAATGAAGTCCAGGAGCCATAAATCCCATTTCTATGCTTGCTTTGAGGGATGAAACTCCTTTTATTCCCTGGCCTTCTGATGAGTAGGATGCAAGAAATTAAAACTTGGAAATTAAACAGATGAAGCTCTTTTATCTGGATCAGTAGGAGGATCACATGATGAAAGCACTCTGGCTCTCTCCATGCATGTAGTAACAACACACTCAAAGCTGGAAAACTCAGATATAATTAAGAGAGCCATTAGATAATCACTAGAAATTAATTTAACTTCATTGTAAGGGCTATTATTTTCAGTTTACCTGCTGAGCAAAGTCAAGGAAAATACCTGATTATCAGCGTGATGACAACAGGTCATTCGCAGGGTGAAATAGAAGATCAGATGCTGCAAGTGCTGCCTGTCAGCATTCACTATCTTGTCACACAGGGCACCAGCACTGGCATGAAGACACTGCATGGTGAGAAAATGGGATTTTGGAGAGACACAGGCCACCTCTTGGAATGCCTATCTGGCTGCAGGTCAGGGTGCCCTCGCTGGGACTCTGGCATTTCAATCATTCTGCTGACCAGTTCACCAGCAGGTTGAAAAATCCTCACTTTTAGCTAATCCTTTGTCTACTCTTGAGCACACAAAGTGTGACTTTTGGTGGCCATTTGAACTCCTGTTGTGGGATCTCTGTGATAGGTAACAAGCCTCACAGCGGAGGAAAAAGCAATAGATTCATCATTGGCACTTGCAGATTTCTGACACTGTCTCATATTCACTTTCCTAATCAGGTGAGGGAAACATGGGTCTAGATAAAACTGCTGGAGAGTGGGGACAGAGCTGCAGATATATGCACCAGGAGAGCAGTTATCAATGGCTCATTGTCAAAACAGAAAGCGGGGCTGGAAAGCCAGAAAACACAGCCTGGGAGGACAGATTGATCGAGTTACATTTATGAGCCAAAGGAGAGCCTTGGTGGGATATAAGTGCCTTTGAGCACAGAAAAGGCTGTTAAAAACACACTGGTACAATCCATCCTCACTGGCAGGATAAGGAAAGCCTTTACGTTGCTGCAAAGAAAAATTCAAACCAGATAGGAAAAAAATTTATGAGGATCGAGAACATCAGTAGACTCAAGACTGTGAAATCTCCATCCTTGGGGGTCTTTAAACACAGGCTGGATAAACTTTTGCCAGGAAAAACAGGTACAAGGGCCCCTGTTTAAGATAGGCAGCGCTGCTACAGGCTTTCTGTGCATGTTCCAGTGATGCCCTGAGGCTTGATGTGCTTCTGGTCAGGCTTTGTGCACTGGGTACAGGCTGCTGGTAGCTCAGTGCAGCACACAGAGATATTCCACTCCCAAGATGCCTGAAAAATACGAGTTTATTTTACGTCAGGCAAGACTGGAGCTTTTCCAGGAGAGACTGTGGCTGTGTGATGCAACTGAACGGGCAGGTGGGAAAAAAGCAGCAGCTGAGCAAAGGACATGAGGCTGGGTCATGAGCAGACCTGAGCCTTTTCTCTGTGCTTCCCTCAAGGTCATCTTGTTGGCAGATAAGCTGATGTGGATTTCCCCAGAAGAATGATTTTGACCGTAGCTGGGCTGGTTTAGGAATGCAAGCTGGGACTTTGGCTTACTGGGGCTGAGTTCAACACCCAGCAAACAGAACAGCATTGGAGAGTGGGAAAGTAAAATGGTAAAATCACCCCAAGAAACATGTGGAGGGGAGGTAGCACAGAAATCGCAGAATCACAGAATCATAGAATGGTTTGGGTTGGAAGGGACCTTAAAACACCATCTTGTTCCAACCTCCTGTCATGGGTAGGGACACCTTCCACTATCCCAGGTTGCTCCAAGCCCCATCCAACCTGGCCTTGAACACTTCTAGGGATGGGACAGCTGAAGCTCCTCTGGGCAACCTGTGCCAGGGCCTCACCATCCTAATGGTTTGGGGGTTCTCAGCAAAGGTGTTATGTGGGTAATCTTGGGGTTTTAGGAATCATATAGAACAAACTGAAGTAATTGTAAAAATACAATAAAAATAGATTTAAATATAAAATAGACTAAAAAATTTAAGTTCTTTGGTCTCAGTGGCCATATGGTAGCAGCAGACATCTTTGGGGAAGGTGCTTTGCAAGGATTAATGGCCAGATGGGGGTTAACAGGCCACAGCTGTACTATGATCCCCAGCTCCACCCCAAATTAATGATCTTCTGAGGACATATCCTTAAATTAAGAGGAAATGACAGGTTTAAATTGGCATGTGCCACACACAGCGCAGTGGCAAGCCCAACAGTTAGTATAATTTTTAATACGGCCATAGAAAACACCTTTTTATACTAATAGAATAAATCATGTTCTCAACACCTGGAGTTTACACCAGCCAACCTGTAATAACGTATTAATGCATAGCAGTTGCACATCCTGTTACAGAGCAGCAATAAAATGGTGAGGGACCCAAGGGGACAGGTTTTAGCACCAGCACGACTTGCTGGCAGCTGCAGATCACCACTCCCCAACAGTGCAGCTGTACCTGCAGCACCACACCACAGACCAGGGACTTGTTTTCCTTCCTAGATGTCCATGGGATTTTATATTTTTTTTCCTTCTTTCTTGATCATACAGACTTCCATTCAGGACAATATTATTATTTTCAGTCTTCCTTTAAGAGTGTGCTCTAATTACACCAACTATCAAGACTGTTTCAGGTCAGATGGGTGGCAAATGATGCCCCTGGTCCTTGAAAATGCAGCCATGGTGGCAAGATGTCCCATCCCTGGAAGTGTTCAAGGCCAGGCTGGATTGGGCTTGGAGTAACCTGGTCTAGTGGAAACGTCCCTGCCCGTGGCAGGGGGGGGTGGAATTAGACAATCTTTAAGGTCCTTTCCAACCCAAACCATTCCATGATTCTATGATTCTACATACTCAGCAATGTAAGGGTACTTTGAGTAGCCTTCAAGGAGAAGTAGGTGGAAAAATGGATCACTTTCTTCCTCTCAGAGGTATTCCATCCCCATAGCATCAGGTAGATCTCAGTAAATTGGTTAAGCACAGGTCGAGGTGGTGCTCTGAAAGCAGCACCTTCCTTTCTTAAATGAAAACCTGAAATTCTG